TACGCGTCGCTACCATTTTATTGGCTGTGTGACGAATGAGAAATAAAAGTTATCGATGTTGCTCAACACGTTGCGCTCGGTGTGCGCTCTCAGTCGTGGGACGGTCGAGGCGATGCTACGGTACTGAGCGTGCGTACGCTACCATAGTGTACTCACGCTCGGCGCTTTTCGTTCTAGAAATAGAAGTGAATGAGAGCGTTGAGCAAGTGTTTGTTGTGTGAAAGACTCGAGCACGTAACAGTGTCAATCCGCCGGATAATCTAGAGACAGTGAGACGCGGCCTGTTTACTCTGTTCGGCAGTCTTAACGCGGCCGACGACGCTTCGGGATCGCGCCGCCCGGGAATCGTGTATTTTCGGCATCCAAAGATGTTAATTGGAGGGAGCCGGGGCACGATTTATTCGGGTTCATAATTAGATCGTCATCGTTCCGTGAGAAGAACGGCTCTCTCTCTTTCTCTCTCTCTCTCTCTCTCTCTCTCTCTCTCTCTCTTTCTGCAGACTGTTTCATTGGAAATGCAAATTATTCGGATTCGAGGAACATTCCGTCGTTCTCGCAAACAGAAATCCACTCTTCCCTTTGTCGCACGTTTTTTGCGACCTTGCGATCATCGCGGTTGTTAGATGGACAATTATCCCACGGGAAAATCGCGGCTGAGTCGATGGAGAGTCGCTCTCCGCGGCATCGACGTGATAACACGTTCTAACATTAATAACGCGGCGATCCGATCGAGAGAGAGAGAGAGAGAGAGAGAGAGAGAGAGAGAGAGAGAGACACGCTCCGCGAGATAATACGGCGTAAAACTTTTAACAAAACAGGTCGCGACTCCCCGCGCGACGGCGCGTCGTCGAGACTCAAAGAGAGGATTCGGACTTCGCGTCGTACCTACCGCATCGCAATGAATTAATGACCGCGCATCGCCTTTACGCTCACGCTCGCGTGTAACAATTCATTCATGCGACGTCGCCCCGCCCCCTCCGTGCCGCGCGTCGACGCTCGACTTTGCAAACAATGAGCCATAAATGCGGCTTCAATTACGTTGCAACTGAGGCGACGCGTGATTTACGCGCTACGCCGCTTATCGCTACGTGCGTGCCACATAGTGCGTAAACATCGTAGCACGTGTAACTTCACGGAAGCCGTGCGCGGCGTAACTTGGGTATGACCTAAAATTTTAACGACTCCGCGCCGAGCAGACAGAGGAGCTCTCTCGATCGACGGAATATCAGGACCGCACTTGACACAATGGACAGACTCATTCATTCCGAACGAATGACGGATCAACTATGACACTTTCTTTTTTTTTTTTCTTCTATCCTTTTACCATCGGCGTTTTACATTTCGAAAGCGAGATCGCGGTGAAATGTGTCGTTTTTCAAATGACTCTTACGTAGCGGACCGCTGCGAAATTAGAGAATGTCGCTTTTTCCTCCCAATTTCGAATTTGTTCACACCGAAGGTTACGCCGAGTCCGTCCGGATCAACAAGCACTTCATCATACCGCATCGAGCAGTACGATAAGGAGATTGAGTAATTCGACATTCCAATGTTCGAAAGTTCTTACGTCACCTAATTTCCTAACGGAAATCGTGTTTTTTTACATTTGTCACAGTGCAGTCTCATGCCTCGGCATCGACGTCGTTTGTGTCAAAATATGTTGAGCTTGGAATTAGATATTAAGTAAAGAGATTTCTCGTGGAATCTCTCTCTTTCTCTCTCTCTCTCTCTCTCTCTCTCTCTCTCTCTCCCTCTTTCTTTATATTTGGTGCTGTGTGTATCGTCATCCATATTGCCGTTTATCTAACATAAAGATTTAGCGTTATCGGTTTTCCGAAGTCTTCCCACGCAACGTCTTTTATCTGCTGCGTCAATCTTGAGCCGTTTCTGTCCCTTTTATGACCATGGAAGTAACAATATAGTGGAAGGATCGTACCTTTTCTGAAGTCTCCTGGCGACGGCAGAAAAATATGCGACAGCAAATAAAGGGAAGGCTTTTCAAAAAGGAAAAAGATTACCCATTGTGTCAGATATTACGAATGTTGAAACGTCGCAGACATTCGCAGTGCTAACGACGATGACATTCGCAGTGCTAACGACGATTTCTCTCTCTTTTTTTTTTTTGGTGAAGACAAGAGGAAGAGAGAGAGAGAGAGAGAGAGAGAGAGAGAAGTTACTTAAAAATTTCAATCGAAGTCGCATTAACCACGCATAAGTGATAAAAAATATCGGACATCGTGATCGCATGTCGTGGGGCGAAATTAAAATGTTTCACGGCGATATTGATAAGTAGCTGTGTGTTTAATTGGCGACGCTTGCGGAGAGGAGAGATCAAATGTTCCGTCTGTGTTCGCGACCACCGCTTCTAAATTATTTACTCGCGTTAATGAAGTATAATTTACACGTGCTCATGTCGTGACTAAATGCCCCTATATCTCGAACGATGCGCTCAGGGCAATTACTCGCAAGTGCGATAAATTAACAGCGGGTGTAAAATATCGACGACGCATTATTGCATGTCCACTAAACAAGAATAAATATGAACGAGAAATAATTAGGAATACGCGAAGTACGTCCTCCGTCGCAGCGTGTGTCAAGGAAAAAGAGAGAAAGAAAGAAAGAAAGAGAGAGAGAGAGAGAGAGAGAGAGAGGGAGGGAGGGAGGGAAAGAAAAAAGAAGAGAAAGGAAGGTGTTCTCACACTGCACTTCGCTGTCCTCAAACTGTCTCTCCTTCCCCGACGAAGTCGTGGAAACATCTGCCTCTTCCAAGAAGGTGGTCTCGAGATAATGCCGCATGGAAACGCGCGTGCTCTGTACATACAAAGTTGCCGGTTCCCTCGAGAAGACGAAGACACGTTTTTCTCCGATTCCGTGAACCGTGAACCCATATATTTCCCTTTTTCCTCACGCACTTCATACACTTCGCGGCGGATCCCAGATCGCCATGTCGAACATTTTTCCAGACCAGCCCGGATTTATGGCCGACACGTTCTCTCATTTGCTTCTTCGCTCTAATTCGACGTCAAACGTGCCACGGAGGAAAAGAGGAAGATACAGCGATATAAAATTTTACGCGGCTCTCTCTCTCTCTCTCTCTCTCTCTCTTCCTTCGTTCGTTTCCTTCCGTCCTTCCGTTCCGCTTTCCCACTTTGAATCTCTTATCTTAAGAGGAAGTTGATAGCGGAACTTACAATCAAAGCCGCGAGTACATCCGTCTCCGCGAAACGTTCGTCTCCAAAATTACCGATATGGGTCACCAGACGTGCATTACAATTATTGTCGGCATGTTGCAACAAGACACGTTTTCTCGCTGAGACCTTAACAACGAAACACGTACACGTGTACTCCGTGATACTAAATTAATTATGTCGCGTATATTATCAACGATACTGCGCATTATCTACGGGCTGCCCGACTTTTCCCACAGTATTTGAGCACTTAATGACGACCATGTGCTCTGCACTACAAGAAAAGGGGAGGAGGGAAGGCAAATCATGAACATGATAACAGCGCATGGTTTATTATTTCCTCTGGATGTGAAGTCGGGTGTCTTTTTTCAGCATCCGGCTATTTAAAACCATTTCAGTTATGCCATGGATCTCCCCTATCGCGTACAAAGCACAACTTCCTATCTCTTTATGCAACCGAATATCTCGAACTTCCTTTTAAACTGTCCCAGCCCCACACGTCGGCCACGACGTTTCACGCGCACGACAATACGAACGTCGTCGAAATGTGTGTTCCTTCTTGTATCACAGCGCCGACACAGACACTTTCCAGTGAAAACGCAAGCTCATCAGCGGGGAATACCCCAATGGCGCGGAGAAAACGGTCTAATGACCGCGAATATTTCTTTCGTCCAAGCCTGCGAGCATCGTCGACAGGGCCGAGAGACCAAAGGGAACAAAGGCCAACGACCCCGGCTGGCTGGTTGTAGGGTCTCCGTTGCGTTTACAAGATGTTCTGGAAAGCCGACGATGAGGCCATCATGGCAGGCTATTATATGAGCGCAGGTGTCGGTGCAGATGTCGCGTAGCAGACGGTCCGCCACGATCGGCGCGTTTGCGGTGTCGTCTCGAAATTTTAATAAAACGCGCGCAGAGAGAGAGAGAGAGAGAGAGAGAGAGAAAGGGGGAGGGAGAGTAGGGGGAAACGAGAGAGAGAGAGAGAGAGAGAGAGAGAGAGAGAGAGAGAGAGAGAGAGAGAGAGAGAGAGAGAGAAGAACGAGAAGGAGAAAGAGAGCCGGACAGCCGCGTGTTTGCCTTGCGCCGCGACCCGGGTGTCGCAAGTGTGACTGAACAAACATGTATGCACGCATCGCACGATACACTGAATATATACCGATACGAGCCGTGCATCTTATCCTTGCACATCTCCGCGCACGGATCTCCGATATGAATCTATCAGACGGCGTGCGCGCGTAGGTAGTGATCGTCGGAGGATCGCCGGGGAGCGGCTGAGGAGAGCTCTCGCGGCGCGTCGTGAGATCCAGGTTGAACGTGGGGATTCCGGGCTTCCTCTTTGCGCTAGGTCGCTGTCGCTTATCCGCCCTACCCTGTCTTTTTACCGTTTGCACACATTTGCATCAGCACGCGTGACATTCCGCCGTCGGACTCTGCTCGTAAATCTCGCGTGATTTCCGATCTCGTAGATACGGAACACGTGTCTCTTGCATGAGACATCGCCGACTCGGACTCTAGTCTGATGCAATTGTTGTTCCCGTGAGATTGGCAACGAGCCGCTCGTTCCGTTTGTAGAAGCAGTGTAGACGCGGTCTTGATGCTTCGGGATCAATTGTCAAACACATTCGCGCTATATGTTTGTCAGCGGTAGTCTTCGGATCGTATTTCTTATGCTTGCTGTTCCCGTTATCAAACATAATTGACGTCTTGATGATATCGGAAATGGTGCCATTGATGCGTCGTTTGACGTCGTTAATAAGTCATTGATTCGTCGTCGTTGTTTGTTGAGAATAATGAGGAGGAAATTTATTGCTGTTTCAGGTAGAAGTCGAGATGTTGTGATGGCTGGTAGATCACGACGTTCGAGCACAGAGCTCGAACCAGATCTATCGACGCCAACGGCTCCGAAGAAATCCAGGCAATCCGAAACGTTACCCGAAGAAACAGTCGCGGAAGAGGACTTGACGAAATCAGGAAGCACCGAGACGCCGTCTACGAGCGAGACCTCTTCACAGGCGGAGATCGCGCTCGCTCAGGAGAAGGAGAAGCAGCTTGAGGAAATTGCCGAATTCGCGGAAGCATCGAAGCAATCGTCGTTGGCCAGCGAGACGTCATTGAGCTCGAGCGAAACAGGTGTGTCCGAGCAGAAGACAGACACCGCTACGACATCGACAGAGGCGACTCCGGGCTCGTCGAAGGAAGAACAGTTCGGCACATTGAAATCCATTGTAATGAAGTACAGCAGTCAACGGGAGCTCTCTGCTTCTGCCGAAAAAACGTCAGAAATGACGGTTCAGATTCAAACGTCCTTGCTGGGTGAACATGCGTCTTACGAGGAGCTGTCGCTTATCGGGAACGGCGCTTACGGCACCGTGTACAAAGCGAAAGATAGGACCAGCGGTCAGGTCGTAGCACTTAAGAAAGTCAGGGTACCTTTAACGGAGGATGGTCTACCTATGTCCACACTGAGAGAGATCGCCACTTTGAAGCAGCTCGAGCGATTTGAACACCCGCACATCGTAAGTTTCGTTTATAATGACCATATTAATAAGAGGCAGTGCGCGAGGTGATATTTGGCATCCCTTTTCCTAGGTCAGATTATTGGATGTTTGTCAAGGAAGTTATCTCGACTTACCCTCGGCCGAGCGATCCGGAAGATTGGACCGCGGCCTCACCCTGTGGCTGGTGTTCGAGCACGTGGAAAGAGATCTCGCTTCTTACATATCTAGCTGTCCGCGGACAGGTATCCCTCCGTATCTCGTGAGGCAAATGTCGAAGGAGATACTCTGTGGAGTAGAGTTCCTACATAGCCATAGAATAATACACAGGGATTTGAAGCCACAAAATCTGCTGGTGACGCGGGACGGAAGAATCAAAATCGCAGATTTCGGCCTGGCTAAGACCTACGACTTCGAAATGAGATTGACTTCCGTTGTATGTATAAATGCCGCATGTAAAGATGATGCGTTAAAAATGCTTTACCTTTCAGCCACGTAGAATAAAGGTCTATGTCCATTCCATTATGTCCATTCTAGGTCGTAACACAATGGTATCGAGCACCTGAAGTACTCTTGGGATGTTCCTACGCTACTCCTGTAGATATTTGGTCTGTCGGGTGCATAATGGCGGAACTTTACAAATTGGAGCCATTATTCCCGGGTACCAGTGAGGGGGACCAACTCGACAGGATTTTCCAGTGAGTTGTCTTCTTTTCTCCTTTTCTTTCATACATCGGAGAGAACTATCGCATAATTACAATCTGTTTGTTCTCTCTTGTTTGCAGAGTTGTTGGTACTCCATCACAGCAAGCATGGCCGGAGAACGTATCAGTCAGTTGGACAGCTTTCCCTCATAGACAACCCAGACCTCTTGGTGCAATAATACCAGATGTAGATGAACACGGACTAGATTTAATTAAGAATATGCTCATGTTTGATCCTCATAGTCGTATAACTGCAGCTCAAGCTGTAAGACACCGATACTTTGCTGAAGATGACGCGTGATGACTTTTCCGTAAGTTGTCTAACTATTTACCACTATGTAAACTAGCAAACATTCAGACTGACGTAATTATATTTTAAAATAGAAATATATATGACACTTAAGCACACTATATGATAATCTGTAAAGTAAATTTTTAAGTATAGCATTATATTCGTATATACTAAAAGTATGCCAGAATTCAATTCGAATATTCAGATTCACTTGTGTTTCTATAAACATTGCTGTTTAGATTCAGATTCAATTAACAGTTAAAATTAGGGTTTAAATTTATGTCAAAATTAAATATGATTTCGTAGTAACTATATATGTAGCCTAGCATACTATTTTTACATGTTTACAGAGCTAATTTGTTAACATTACAGCGTAATAACCTAATAATTCTACGAAATGAACTTTAATATTTAAGTTAATTTATCCTACAGTTTAATGTATAACGCAACAACAAAACAATTATTATTATTTTTGATATGTTATTTATTTACAAGATAACGTGTCGTAATATTGCAGTCAGTCGTATTTTTATAATATTAATAAGGATATTACATATCTTCTATCATTCATATTTCTTATTTCGCAATTATCAGCGATCATATGTACACGGCATTTATATCAGATAATTTTTAAGTTAAGTAAAATATATAGCTGCGACAAATCTTATTAGAAGTCAAAAAAGGCGTATGACATACGTATATAATTTAGTTTTGACCAGATGCAAATATTAAGCACAAAGCAGTAAAATAATAATATAAGTATATGTTATTCATAAGTAGAATTATTTTTCTAAGACTGGGGCCTTTGTGTGACCCATTAGAACCACGGGAAAGATTTAGGATCTTCCAGAGAAAACCAGAAAATACACTGCCATATGTATGTACCATAAGCCATCGCAATCACTATTATATTTTTATTACTGTACTATATATTGACAACACGTGTATAGAGGAATAAGTGACACGATATTTATGTGCATATTAACACGTATTATTACATTAAGATGTAGAAAATAGATGAACGCATTGTATTAATATATCTATGCAAATATCTATAAGACTGTATTATGAAATAAAAGTTTTATAGTTTTATATGTAGAAGAAACTGTGTCACAAATTTTTAAGATCAATCTTCCCCATCATATCAAATCTATCAAAATATTTATAAATGTTTCTTTAACAAGACCACTTGTAAATAGAATTAATTTAATAATCAACTATTATCTAATAACTAATACACAAACTGAATATTTCAAGACCATATTCATTTCATCTACTAATTTTATGTACTTTCTGAAGTTAAAATGAGAATGACTTTGTCGTATGATTTATCATTTTATTTATACATTTGTAAGATTGAAAATTATAAGTAAGTAATTCTGGCTATATCTGTAATGTGAAGACGCTAGTGTACATCAGCCTTAACATTCTCTAACTAGAGCCATTCGTACAATTTTCAACCTGTCATTTTATGTCTTCATGTAGACGTAAGGTTGAAAATCGCAGGAAATCCTAGTAATACCAAGTTAAGGCATATTACACTATCGTCCGTATTCATAGTCAAGCCTTATATTTAAGGCTTCCTTAAGCTTATCTTCAGATGGTCTGTAGCCAATAAAATAATTCGTGCAGCATCTAAAGATGGGTATGAGAAGGCCTCAAATATAAGGCCTGACTGCGAATACGGGTATATGTTACTATTGCCAGAGAGAAACCTAGATTTCTTTCTGGTGGTAAATCGGAATACTGTTCAGTTCGGCAATAAAAGACAGGCTTCTCTGTGGTATGTGTCATCTGTTTGTTTACAAAATTTTCGGACCTTTGAATGCAAACGATGCGACGAATAGAAGTATTAACAGAATTAACAGAAGATCAAGGGTGATTAATTGCCTTTTATGAATGTCATCTGGACACTTTATGTACATCTCGTGTTATATCCGCCCTAAGTGAATACTCGTCGCAAGAAGGTAACGTAACCTAACGTAACCTCAAAGATACGGTCCGGTGCATAAATAGTGCACGAAACATAGCGATGATGGAAGTTGGATTTGCAAGTACTTTCGATTAATGGTGTGCATTCGACAAACAACTCGCTATCGGTGACTGGGAATCCTCTAGATGGATAATGAGTGAGTCCGATGATACGGACATCCTGCTCCTGATCCCGCCCGATATATTCCACGTCCCGTCTTCCGACTCGGACGTCAGCTCGAGCGATCTCGCGAGAACAGATTGCGGGAAGGCTGGCGTTATCTCGGAGCTGGTGGAGCACATGCAATCGCTCGAATCTCGAATCTCCGCCATCGAGTTCAGAGACAATAGCTTGGAGGTGTCCGTATTGAATAATTCCTTAGATTCTCACGAAGCCTATAGCGGCACGTGCCACCCTTATTATCGGCAGACTTTACCCAGAACCAAGTTCTCCGTAAGTCAAAGCGCCAGTTTGCAAAATACCCCCGTGAAACCTCGCCAGTGTCTCTCTGTTCCTGCTACTCCTAGTGGACATACATCGCAAACCTGTGCTAATTCTTTGAGGGATGACATGCGATTGGAACGTTGTTCCTTGATAGCCTCTGTTGCTAAATCAACTACTACTACTACTGTTACTACTACCACCACTACTATCACCACCACCACTAACACTCTCGCTCGGGCCAAGCATGATGCTGTAACGTCGTACACCGACTCCTACGTGGTGTCTCCTCCTGCTTCCTGTGGTACTGGGCTTCCGCATGTCACTGCTATGTCCGCGAAAAAGGGATCTCATTTGTCTCTCCGTTCGGACGATTACTGTACAGATAAAATTCATTCTTGTCCCAAACCTCGTGATTCATTGCATTCCATGATATTCGCATCAAACTTATCTAACGCCTCAATAGGTCAGCAGCATACCTGTACTAGAATAGTGCAAGAGATGGAACTATCTGAAGTTGATGAATTGCTTCAAGAGATGGAAGCCACCGAGTTAGAATTAGCAAAAAGAATAAATAACACTGGCGGATATCAATATCGCAATGAACCGATTCAGTCGATGTCTTTGACTCGAACAGCTGATAGCACAGATGGTCAAGAAAAAGAGACGCAATCTAAGCTCAGTGGGACAAATCGAAGACTAGACTTTCAATCGTGCAATAAAGAGTCTCAACCGACCGATGTTTTGTCAGCATTTTGCCAAAAGAAATCAAACAATGCATTCCCCGATATATCGTTACCATATAGTAATTCATTCCACCTAGACGAGACTGATAAAATGATTTCTGAATTTAAAACATGGGAACAAAGTCTTCAGCAATCCGTTCCGCGGCCGAACGGTTATACAACGGAAAATGTAAAAAGTACAGATCACTCGTCTAATGTGTTATCTGCCACGATTAGCGTCACTAAACCGAGGGAATCAACGATGAATCAAAGTAATCAAAGTAATTTGTATACAAAAGAAGCGAGTACAAGTAACGGGCTGATTCAGTCAAAATCTTCAACTATGAAAGCAGATCCTGCATCATGTGTTACTGAATCAAAGAAATTGGCTGATCTTGTATCAACGAAAACTGTGCAATATAGTAATCCGGATCGTTTGTTGGATCTTCGCAAAGTGCCACAGCGTAACGGAAATTTACACGATGATAAAGAAGGATCTGAACTTGCTAAAAGTACTGTACACGTTGGAACAAATACAGATATTCAATTAAGGTATTATATATAAAATGTAAAAGGAACAAAATTTTTATTCTTTTTTTCGGAAACTTTTGTTTTTCTTGTAGATCAATCCATGTTTGTCAAATATATTTTACTAGCAATTCTGTAACAATAAGTTATTCTAATATTTGTTTACAGAAAATGTCAGCGACTCTTATCACTCTCGGATTTCTGGGATATTAATCCAACTAGATCGCAAGAAGAAACCTTCAAGATCAAGCTAGAAGAGGAAAAATTTCGCAGAGAGGTATAATATAACATATATATATATATATATGTATATTGTGTATGTATAATTGTATATTTTATATCTTCAGCATTGTGAGCATCTGATTCAAGAACTTCAGAAACGCCTGCTGGAGCAACAGGAGAAAGTGGCAGTAGCGGTTAGGGTAGATAATGAGAAAAATGTCTTGATATCTCAATTTCATGCAGCTTGGTTAAAGTTAAAGCAGCAAGTCGGAATAATTGAAACTGAGCAGAGAAACTCGCAAACTAATCTGCAAAATATTACGGAGAAGCATCAATCCGAGGTCACGGAATTTCAGTCTCAAATCAAACGTCTCGAGCGAGAACTGTCGAAAGCCTTAGATTTAGCGGCCGGATATAAAGAGAAGAGTGACGCCACGACCAAAGAGAAAATCGACTTGCTGAAGACCCATGCGGACGAATTAGAAAGTTACAAATCTTTGGTCCAAGAGGCGGAAAATAGATACGAGCAAATGAAAACAGAATTCAATGCGTTCCTGGAAAAAAACCAACAGAGAGAGGAGACATTGAGGACCGTGCAATCGGAATTGAATAAGGAACGTTTAAGGGAGACTGAAGTGCGAAACGAGATGATACTCATCCGTAAAGCGTTGGACACGTGCGAAGCTGAATTGATAGTACTCAAACAGGAGAAGGAGCATATGCAGCTCAAGCTCAAAGAGGAGATTAACAGAAATTCTATTTTACAACAAAGAAATTCGTCGTTGCTCATATCTGTCGACGATGCCAAGAAAGCAGAAGTAATATGTTACACAGGATACATGAGAAATTTGCGATATATGATATAATATGTATTAGTTCTTACCGTCTCTAATTACTTCTTGGTATTTTCAGAAACTAGCAAAGGATGAAATCAAGTCTGTTGCGGAGCAAAAGGAAAAGATCAAGGCGGAATTGCAGGAAGTTTATCAGAAGCAGGTGGACGAGGTGGTGAAGACGAAACTACAAGAATTTCAGACGCAACTCGACACCGCCGAGTCCGAATTTTTAGAAGAGATGAAAACGAGGCAGCAAGTTATAGCCGAATGCGCTGCTAGAAAAATTAAGGATGTCATTGACAAGTTCGCTTTCCTGCACTGTACTGTAACGATGTATCGATTGATATTTCAAGATATAACGAACGTATTGAAATTTATTTTCTAGACATCGTTTGGAGATAAACTTATTAGAGGAGAAACACAAAGAGGAAAAACGGTTGTGCGAATTACAATTGGCTCAAGCTTTGCAGAGATCGTCTATGCTGGAGACACATTTGAATTCTCAGCGCGCAAACAAGTCTCAACTTGCGGAACAGCTACATTCAGTCATGCAGAAACAATGGCAGCAAGCTTTACACATTATATCCGGTAAGTCGTCAAACATATTCGATCTCGTATCCAACATGCACAATATTTTCAGCATCGTTACTATACCTGAATTTGTAACACGAGTTTCTAACACGTGGTTCGTAGACTACAAAATGCAATTGCAGGTGGTAATACGGACAATTTAGCTCCGATTCAAAGAATTTACGCGGAAAAATCCTTTGACTCGACCAAAGGCCCCGTGAAGTCCGAATCAATGCCAAATTGTTACACTAAACTTTCCCAGGAACCGATAAGGTACGCAACGCAATTGTTGGAGACGCAAAATTCGACAGCTGCGCAACACCTTGACGATCAGAACGAAAGCGCGATCACGTTGAATTCTATCGAAAATACGCCGTTGACCAGTAGAAACAGCTCGAAAGACGATCTGCGGAGATACGTGAAAATGGTCAGTGGCATTTGGGTGATAATAAATTTTATTCATAACTATTAATTATCCCACTGATTGGATGCAAATTGCTTCTACGCAGATCGCAGAAATGCAGTTGGCAAGAGAAGATATTACCAAATACAGAAACTCCATTTCGAGTCCGCCGTTAGTGTGCAGAGAAGTGCCGCGAAAACATTACTTGAAGAAAGAATTGAACATCAAGAGCGAGGATAGCATTTCATGGCAGCCAATTCCCGAGGTTTGTTGGCCGATATAGTCTTGATGATCAAAGTGTACGTTACAAAAATGAAATAACATCACTTTAATGCTAGACTTGTACGCTCGGTGACGTTGACGAGAACATGCCTATCTCGCAGAAAATGGCTGTAAAAACGGATCAGCAGAGAAATAAGCCCCCATGGAAATGACGTGTAACTTACGACAACGTCGACGATACCGAAGGCGTCGATGAGCTCGATCGCATTAGCTGAATTCGATACAGTGTAATTTACCTAGCAGTAACGCCAATTTTTTTACGACAGATTCTAATATCTATTTTTCAACACGAAGAGAATTTAATAAAAAGATCTTTTACATGCATCACTTCGATCCATCTCAGTATGTCTTTACACTTTCTTTTCCCTTTTCTTTTTCGCAAATTGAAAGTGGAAGCTCCGATGACAATTTTCTCTTCCCACATCTCGTAACGTAAGAGGTTTTATAGTAATTGCGATAACATTGATCCATTATCCGCTACATTCTTATCACGCTTTGCATGTCCGAACTGTCCAATTTTTAACATGACACCAGCCTCCTCGTCGCGAAACATTTTCATGACGACTTATACGGTCGACTTCTATGGCCGAGCACACGGGGAGGAAAAGGATGTATGATAAAATAATAGGCTGATAACAGGGAAGAGTTTATCTTACAGCGGGGATTCAATATACATTCGACGTGGCTTGAAGCGAGATGCTTGTGCGAACGATTTTCTGAACTCCAAGTTTACATCTTTATCTTTGTGTATGAATAAATTTCGTGTAAACTGCGGTCATCTAATAAACAGATTACGCACTCCGACAATTCGTGGGTCGCAGAGCATTGATAAAGTTATTTTATTCGGACAACTCATTTAGACGATAAACTCCGTGGTATTACTCATAGGAGGACGGCACACAGTTATATTATTCAGTTTAGAGTTCTCTTACAGCGCATTTTGATTATTAGGGATCCTTGATTTACAACACAATTCTTAGTTTTGCATTTCAGCTTATACAATGAAGGACTGATCGGAGTTCGTTACACATCGAGCAAGACTTTTCAATATCAGTGTCACACGTTGAACACGTCTGCTTCGCGTAGGTTGTTGCATGCTGATATCGTTCGGAGAAGTACCGAATCGCTTGCCGATGTACGCTGTGAATAACAATTTATCCATGTCACATGTATTATACATATCTATATATATCCGAGAGGACGTAACGTGTCATACGTCTGGGGAACTTGTGGTAAACTAAAGCGCGTCGTTCGCTTATCAATCATCGCCCTGAATGATCTTTGTTAAACTTCATAATTATAATGTGACGAATGTGACCGTTTCATTGCAACATCAACTAACATCTAAATTGTTTATTTAACGACAAATGTACTATTGTATTCGTTGTCTGTGTAGGTAGATATATATTTTATTGGATACATATAGCATTCTTATTTACCAACTCCAATCTCCTCAATAATTAGATTTAATTTTTCCCCAAATTTCTCTCATATTCTTATTATAAATTATTCTAAATTGCTCGAGAAGAATTTCATTTGAGCAGATCAAGATTATAGATAGAGAACTCTACCGAAGAAGGAAATTTTTGTGGCGAATTTTGCGCGCAAATTTTTGCCTATCTACTAAATGAATTTTATCGGCAGCATTATTGCGATCTCGGTTGAGATGACCAAAAAGGACAATTCTGTTCCTACAAAACTGTTGTCTTCTTCCACTCCGTGTCCGCGTTGCAATCGTAAAACCACATCCCGCCGATTTCTCGCCGAAGGAACGACACGATCGTAAATTTCGCGATCGTATTTCGAGCGCAGAAGGGTCGCGAATCTCCTGCGGATTGCGTGCGGAGAGCATGGGGAAGATAACAGGACAATCCAAACGCGACGAAGCGCTCGGTTCTTCAGGCCCGTAAATGACGATCACGCCTACAGAGTCCTGGTACCGGAGTCGGCGCCAGTTATGAGGATTCTACGCGCGGAACAAGTTGCCGATTGAAAACGAAAGAGCAGCAAGAATGCAAAGGGAGGAACGTGATAGTGACCACCCCCTCTTCGTTCATTCGTACAGATGGTAGAGAGTCATGAGTCGTGTCCGTTCTCCGTGCTCTCTTTCTCTCCCTCTCTCTTTCTCTTCTCTCTCTCTCTCCCTCTCCTCTCTCTCTCTCTCTCTCTCTGTCTCTCTCTGTCTCTCTCTCTCTCTCTCTCTCATGCTGCTCGTATACATACGTACGTATGTGGCCTTTAGTCGCCGGGCAAAACCTCGGCAGTGAGGAGAGACGTTGCGCGTCGACTATCTTAGCCGGATCAGTTCGTACGTGCGTGCCGTTACCGTGAGAGCCGGAGGAGCTTGAATGCACGACGAAGATGCTGCCCGAGACTGGACGATGTTCGCTATTCTGCTGGTTAACAATAGCGCTGCTCGTCAGCCTAATCGTCGACGACACCGGCGGTGTTTGGAAGAGACGGGAGGATAAGACCAAGTGCCCGAAAGTGAAGGGCATACGTAACTTTGACATCTCCGAGGTACAGGGTCCTCTGTGACCAGCGGTGCGAGGTCACAGAGCATCGAAGTGATGAGCAGCTCTTGATGTTTCGATTTTGCCTGTCAGAATGCTTTTCGCAATGATGCTTCTTCGGTATCAAGGATATATACCGGCTCTTTGCGCGTTGGCATTGTGCTATTTCAAATGACGATTTCGTGGTTGAAGTTTTCATCAAATTTCCACTTCAAACGATCTTTTGTATTTGCCCTTGTGCGTCAACGCGCGCCGAAAGGTAGTCTCGCGTCTCGCGGAGGCGAGGACAGGTCGACTTTTTATTTAAACTCCGCTGCCCGTGATTTCATCGGTCCCCGTAGGATTTTCTCCGTAGGATTATACGAATCAAAAGGTTGCTTCCGCGTGTGTATCGACGTCGCACAGAGCTCTGGCGATCCAATTCGCTTGTTGTTTTCCATGTGCGCTTTCTTATTTGTGTGTTTTATGAGAGGAGATTAATTATATTAAACGCGCGGGAATTGGCCTAAAAAAAAACAACAGTTTCTGACAAAAGAGATCAGCTGCTCGTTAAACTTTCAGAGAGATCGATCCTGAACTCTTCGGAGAATTTGTAGCTACAAGCTATAAATACAATTGCAGAGGATAAGCGCGATTCCGAGACGTTCCTTCTGCGCACATACGTACGTTTGACATACAGCTTCGCGCAAATTAATCTGTGGGCAGGTTGGTGAAAAGGAAAAAAGGAAGAACATCTCACACACGCGTTTGTCACACTTCGCGCGAATCTCCTCCTCTGTTGCACTTTACAATACACGTTAATTACAACTGCTTCAGCATATCGAAATCAACTTCAGCGCCTGTTATTTGTACAGCATTCGATGCTGTCACGAAGTTCGCGACACCTCTCGGCCCGGTGGATCGGGTCATCTCTCGAGCATAATTTTGTGGAGTAATTTGACCGCGTTATTTACGTATTTAGCGTTGTTTGACGCTGCGCATTGTTCAAGCTGCGATATTGTCACGCGAAATAGCGTAATGCGCGTTGACGTATCGTTCTGACGTGACTTCGAAAACGGATGATCGATAAGCAATTCGTCGGATATGTCGGCTGAATATTAATTATTGCACAGATCGCAATGTGCGTCTGCTTGTTATATGCGGTGTAAACGTCGATTTCGCGCAATAACGACTGGAATTATTGCTCGCGCTGTTCAATTAACGGCGAAACACTCGGCCTGACACGAGCCGAGACACTGCGACGAATGCCGTCGTTGTATTGTCGTTGGTATTCTTATTGGCGAGTCACGCGAATATCATGTTCTCACACATAACATCGCGCTCGCAGTTCGCTTCCCGACGAATTTTCATGACTCGCGTCCGGCGTGTTAAGCGCACGGTGACGTGATTGTTGAGAGAAGTTTTTTCGATCTCAACCGACAAAACACGCGACCACAGTCACTGTAGGGTCGTAATATCTCCGCGTGTGTGGGTGTTTGTGTACGACAATGTTTGCACATATGTGCCCAATTGTCTGGTAAATCTCAAAGAAGCGGTTATGCACGCTGAATTATTTGCGATTCTGTTTGATGGCCGTGAATGTGTAATATTTTATTCCTTGGAGATCCTCTTTTACACACACACACACACACACTCTCTCTCTCTTTCTCTCTCTTCGCGCTCGCGCGCCGGCTTTCTTTTCGACGCGTTGGCGTTTGGCGAATTTATTCTGGAAACTTTATGCGTATTTAAGGGATGACTATTTCAGACATGTCGCGTGCACGCGACTATTTCCGCCGGTGAACATGCTTTTCGCGAACGCCCGCTACGGCGATAGAGATTCTCCGCGCGGCGAAGCGGATCGTATGGGCGCGAATGCCCTTTAATCCGAGGCCGTGTCGCTTAGGTTTTTTCAAGTTGCAGACCGAGCGGGGTGAAACGCAATCCATATTTAGAAACGAGCTTTTTCAAGTATAATTTTAGTCACGCTCTTCATATTATCGCGTCGTGCTTTTCAACTAGGCGCGGTATAAAAACAGCGACGCGTTTTTTGTCCGACTCGATTAAGATACGCTACGATAAACTATAACTTCAGTCTTCCGGACCTTTTTAGATCAACCGTGCGTGACTTCATCGTTCAGAGATAAGCATTGAACTAGGACATAATGTTCCGCGATAAGCCAAAAGTTCGGAATGTTTCGTCGCGTTTTCTTCGTCGTGAATCCAAATAATTTGTTGCATTCGCCTCGTGTCTTCGTGACGATACGATGAAGTATGTATGTATGTATGAAAATACATCTTTCATCAGCGATGTAATAACATTTCTAATAATTCCTGCTATGTGTAACGCAACGCCTGTAGTGTGCTAAATTAGAGTTGAAGTCAGTAATAAGAATTCATTGGAAAATGAAAATTCACAAGAGAGAACACTTTTTCGAGCACGCACATTGTGCATTAAGCCGCATAGGATTGCAAGTTTGCGAATATTACGATGTTTTTGTTGTGAGATTCAAAATGCTAAGTTTACACGACATCGATTCGAATATAGCACGCCAGAAATAAACTCAACAGAAACTAATACAAGTCCTCCTTGCATCTGCATCTATCGTCGTTTGAACGCTCTTAAATTTCTGTGATCCAGAATGTCCGGTGTGATACGAGGCCGATTACATGAAACGATAAATAATTTCTTACGAATTGCTTTGAATACCGAGCTAATAAATGCAGAGAATAGAGGAGAAGAGTTTATACATTCTGAATAGAAAATAAGTGTCTGGCGAAGAGAGTAACGCTCAATTAGAAACACAATGAAATTCGAACTACATAGTGTAAAATTGCGATACAGAATTACAGTGTGATACAAAATTACACGTTCGGATAAAGACAATAGGCGCATGATCACGCCCGGCGGATTTCCCGAACGTGTTCCCAGTGCTGTTTGCACGCGCGGTGAGCGCGATCGAGTTTGACCCGCGAAGAGCACGCATTCATTAGCATACGTTAACGCGAAGAAAATCAGCGCGGCGTGTAAACTGTTGCGCTCATTTCACGCGTGACTTTACGCCCACATGCTTACTACAGCACGTAATAGACACCTTGCGCTTCTTGCAGTTTCTCGGATCGTGGTACATCGTACAGTACTACGCAAGCTCAGAGGAAGCTCTCGCGTACAGATGCATGAGAGCCGAACTCTCGGTCTCGCCCGAGAGCGCAGAAGTTACTATGAATTTCACTTACAGCTTTACCGACGATCCCATTAACGAGCTGCTCGTTGGTAACATCACGTGGAAGATTCCCTCGTCGGATTCACCCGCTCACTGGGTGCACGCCGAATTTCCATGTAAAGCTTTTCAACTCGTCATTAATTTGCCTTCGTTCGGTCCGCGACAATGCATCATCATTTACGGAAGCTCAACGCGACACACTATAATCCGCAAAGACAGTTTACGAGCTATTATACGAGCTTGATTAGTTGTCACGTGTGTGAGTCGCTTCTTGTTTCTAATTCTTGTCAAATCAGCAGCGACGTCAATTTCAAAAGATCAGAGAATTTTATTTCTATTGTTTTCTTTCCCGAATCTGTCCGGATGTTAAATGTAAAGTTTTTCTTTCGAAACTTTCCAACTGCAAAATTTGACAAAAGAGAGGATACTTGAGATTCTTTTAACAACGTTGTAATAACTCGAATATTGTTTACAAACCTTGCGTCTCAAACGGAAACCTCAAACGTTCGATAATAAAAGGATTTAATTTTTTTCTTACAGACGAAGGAGTGTACAATACGTACGTGTTAGATTCGGATTACAAGTCCTGGGCATTGCTAATGCATTGTGCTGAAAAGAGCAAGAGTCCACGATATTTATCTAGCTTCATCATGAGCCGTGAAGAGAGCCTCGGGGTGAACGTCATTTCTTATCTGCGCGAGAAACTGCCTAGGTACGTTCGTCTCGGTTTAAAGTCTACCTCCTGCTGCGAATTCCCGTTAAAACAGATTGGCTTTATTATATTTTCTGAAGTGCTCGACTGCGATTTTATACTGGAGAGAGAAATTTAATTTAACGAAACTCACTGCGAGTAGAAATTGCCCGAGTTGAAGCAAAGTACCTCCCTCGTTGTTTCGTGAGATTATTGAAAGAATGAATTATTTTATCCACTCAATACGTAGATATGACATCGACTTGGAGTATATGTTCCCTATGGATCAAAAGCAATGCAACAAGACGGAGGACTCGCTGCTACCGCTGTTTGCATCCGTCAAGAAAGGATATGGCATCAGAAGGCATCCGTTGAAACGGAAACATAGACGCTCATGAAATTCATTGCTCTCTCGGGAGCAACGACATACATCTGAAATGCCTTGGAATAAGGAAATTTTTCTGTATCGAATTTAATATTTCGCGTCAGCCGTCGGCTTGCACTTCTTGGATATCCACAACGCGAGAAGAAGTGTAACACTAGTCTGCAAACATAAAATGCAAGCTTATGAATAGCAGAACGGCATTTAATTTACGTTTCCGATGTACTCGTACTTATTTCGTTAATACAATCTGTCGTCATAATCGTACGTTTTACTCTACTTTTTTAACACTTAAGAGAACATGTGATATATCTGTGTACAGGATGTCCCAACTATATCGACATCCACACACATTTATGTGTCTTTGCATAAGGTAGGAGAGAAGCCCGACAACGACACGGAAAATGAAATGCAAGAAGTTGGATTCGAAGAGCAACATCAAGAGCACACGCTCTCAATGCTCGAATCAAACAGCAAGAACGTTACTTTGGGCTAATTTTATTAATTCAATTAACAACATGTTATAATACTTTTCGTCTCTTCCTCTTATTTATAATTACATAATTGTAATGAACTGTTATTGTTTTCTTTAGACCCGTCGTCTCCCAACATCTTAGCACAACTCGTCCGAATTAACTGACACGCACATGCGGCGGCACGCAGGATCGTCACGATCTCACCGTCGTAATCGTTAGCAATCAGCAACGTCATCTTTATCATCGTTTTATCATTAGCGTAACAGTCGTAGTCAGATTATCACTCAACGCACCTAATTACTTAATTATTGGATATGGCAGCTACAACTTATAAGAAATATTACAAAATCACTTATGACTCTCTCATTCTCCTCGCGCTTGCACAACATTTTACGCATACGAACGCTATCACACCAAGACGAGCGATTTTTCCTACCTATTTTTTCCTTTCTTTCCTTTTCCCGTCCTTTCTACCTTTCTCCTTGCCTTTCTTCGTTTTTCTTTTTGCACACGTGCGATCACGCGATCTCGACGAGATCGCGCACGGCTTATTCGTGAAAATCGGCTCTGTCCGGCGCGCACGGTCGCCGATCTTCGCGAGAGCACGCGACCCTTCGTTCCACGGCGTCCGTTACCTCTCCCCTTAGTTTACACGCGTTTCTGAAATATGTAATAATCGAGCGCGCTCGTAACGACCCGGACGCGCCGATTCGCGTCCGCGATCGTGCGGCGTGCGGAGTATAGGAAGAACGCACAAGGGGGGGGGGGGCGCCGAGAGACACCACGTGGCGTATGATAAGTTCGTTCGCTTGTTTTACGATGCATGTTTCGAGATCATTGGTTGGCGACGATCGCATCGACACACATCGATGATTGCTTCCCCATTTACCGGGACAGATCAGTCGCGATATAGAGCCGTCCGATCGCACGACGTAGTTTACTGCTAAAGCTATCACACCATGCGCTCGCTAAACTATTACACATCACACCGCACTAAACTATCACACCATTCGCCAGCATTCACTCTTATTCGTTCTACGGGCGTGTGCGTACGCACGAACCGCCTATTAGTTTTCTAGTAATTTATCAGTATTAATTAGTCGTATATTTAATTTTTCTTCTCTTTTAATCATTCGTAAATTAATTTTAACATAGTCGTTAAATCTGTATTTCGTAAACCTGTACTCGCGCGCATGCGACCGCTGTGAGCGTACGCGCGTGTACATACGTACGTTTCTATGTGCGTGCACGTGTGTGTGTGTGTATATGTGTGTGTTTTGTGTTTGTTTCTCTGTGTGCGTGTAAATGCGCGTATGTGTGCGTGAGTGTGCGTGCGCGTGTCATACGTGTACGCGTGTTATGCCTCTGTGTCTTCAGTATTATTTCATATAGCTGATAGACTATCTATTTATTTGAAATTTACGTTTTATAAATATCCTATAATATGTCGCGTTTTCCTCCTTTATTTTTTTTCTTTGCTTTTCTTTCCTCTCTCTCTTTTCTTTTTCTTTTGTTGCTTCGTCATTCGATTATGCGCTTTTGTACAAGGATGTAATGCGAACCGAGTGATATTGTATAGTTTGACGTGTGCCCGTATTATACGTGTGTACACGTGTGTATGTGTGTATGTGTGCGTGTGCGTGTCTCCTGCAACCAACTTAATAATCGCGTACAGGTGCTTCCGAGTGAACGTAGAATTCTCGCTGCCGGATCGATATTCGCCGTCCGTGCATTCGCCGAGTCATGTACAGTTCGGTTTCGGACTTCTCGGGCGTAAATGGTAACAGAAGTGAGCGAGTTTGTTGATAGGTGGGTTGGTGCGTCGGTGGATGTACGAGCTGTGACCGAGTGTGTTCCACGTGCGACGATAACGACGAATGACAATGGGGCGGGCGAGTGCACGGTCAAGCGAGCGAGCGAGCGAGCGAACCGTCCCGCTTCGACAGCGGTTTCGATTGTCGAAAGTAGAAAAGTGAGAGAAGCACGGTGTTGCAGTGATTAGAAATAGAAATTGAGAGAAAGAGGAAGAAATAGAAATTGTGTGTGAGAAAGAGGGGAGAGAGAGAGAGAGAGAGAGAGAGAGAGAGAGAGAGAGAGAGAAAGAGAGGAAAAGAGAAATAAAATTACAACTGGGAAAAAATACAAAAAAAGAAGCTCAACGAAAGAAGCGCTCGCGCATATGCGTAGTTTTGCCGCGGTGGGGTTTCCCGCGACGCAAGAGATGAACACTCGTTAGATATTAGTAGAAGTACTAGACGAAACCGGTGAAATTCTCTACTGCTTAAAGTTATAGTTAAATAACGGACGGCCGGCAGCACACCAGTTCATGTTTTTCTTTTTCTTCCTCTTCTTCTTCTTTTTCGTCTTTTTTTTTTTTCTTTTTGGTTGAACAATCAGACGGGTTTCGATTATTGCGATGAGAGACTCGTCTTTTATTTTATATTTATATTATATATACTATATATGTATATGTATATATATAAGGGCACTGCCGTGCCGCACGATCTAGCTTCTTTTCGTTTAAATAGTTACGATAAAGTACGAGATAGGAGGCAATTACAGTTTACGGAAAATTCGACTGATAGTTTCCGCAGATAAGAGAGGGATACGAAGGCGCAAGCCGCTCCGTTGACATCCGCGTGAAAGAAGCGTGAACGGCCGTCGTTTCTTTTGTTCCTTTTCTTTCGTTTCTTGGCTCTTGATTTCCGTGTCCCGCGTTAAGGATTTCCTACGACGCTTGTCGCCGCGTCACCGTGTCGCTGCACATGGTTCGCGTTCGCAAGCGATCGTTATGAGCCGCGCGTGAAGTTCGCGTAGACCCGCTGAAACCGCGCCAGGGATGTGTCAAGAAGTACGACAGAATGTGTGTATGTGTATGTGTGGAATATTGAGAGAAAGACGCATTCGTAGCAGTCCCGTTCAAGAGGAGTCCCAGCTGATCGGAGTTAGTAGATTTTTAAGACAGTTTCTGGCTTCGAAGGACAGCGAGGTGAGGAATTACCTACAACGCGGAACAGAGCTTTCCGCGGAGGAATAGTGACGGGGGGGATCTACATCACTAGGAGAAGGAGGGTAGAGGGATAGGAGAATTATCAATTATATCACTGGAAGATAATTATCTTCAGCAAGGTTTTTTTTTATACAGGACATTTTATCGATTAGATTGTCCCATTAGATAGGGTCTGCCTGCGTGACATCATACCTTTGCGGTGGTCCGTATAGGCTCGCGTTCGCCTCCACCGCCTATTTGCCCGTAGTGGTTCGTGTTAGTTCGCCAATTTTAAGGAAAGAATTAAGGGATTCCTTCTGCGCATTTAACGTTGTACGGAAGAACATAATTCAATAGTCAGTAAAAAGACGTCGTGTGTATTTAAAAAAAACTTGCTGAAGTTAATTATTTCCCGGGAATACAGTTGATAATCTCCCCTCTCCCCCTCCACCCCCACGTATCTCTCCCCCTACTCTCCCCGCAAAAAGCTATGCTCCGCGCCCTGCGAAGCTTCTGATTCAGAAATGGTCTTACATACCTACTGATGTTGTCCGATTTACTTTACTAGCTTTGAAATTTCGAAGGAGGAAGAAACAAGACGAGGAAGAAGAGAAGGATGACGAGGAGGAAGAAGGGATGCGGCGGAAATTGATGGTCCGCGAAAAGCGTTCATTTTTGGACGCATCGTGATGTCGTTCAATCTCGTCGTGGCCGAATGGCGCATTCCGCTTCGTCTTCTTCGTTATCTTTCCTTTTGGTAGGTCCAACGTCGGTGAGGTCGGCGATGTCAATCGTCGACGACACGATTCCGACTGTCTTCACTGGTCTCCTCTCGTGTATCCCGACTGGTAAAAATAATTAGCTACGTAGCGATGGAAAGAACTTCGTGAACACACGGCCATCCTATAGTCACGCACTCCGGTCGTTCGTTCACCGTCAGCCGAGCCATCTTCAGCCGGTCGGCGGTGAGCACGTTTGTTGCTTGGTCCGACGTGCGCGCACACGTGCGTCCGTTTTGATCAATCGGCCGCGGCGCCTTGTCGCCGTCGGATCTTCGCGAGGTGATCGATGTTCGTCCGATGGTCGTCACGGGTCGTCCTGACGAGCATTACTTCACCCGCGACGAGCCGTTGCAGTCCGCGGTGGCGATCTGACGAATCGGCGACGACCGCTGTCAGTAGACCCAAGAGACGGGCACCCATTGGGGTGTCGTGTGCACGCGCTCGATCGCGCCCTCCAGCTGGGCGATCGTCTCATCGAGGTCGTTGTTCACGATGGTCAGGTCGAAGTAGTGCCCGTACGCCTGCTTCAACATGTCCGATTCCTTTGCCAGTCGTTCCAAACTGCCGTCGAGCTGAAAACACATAAGCGGCACCGTCAGAGAGATCGTCACCGATCTGTCTCGCGGATTCTGCGGTACGGCTGTGTACAAATGGCCCCGATCGGAAGGGACGCTGTGAATTGGATGATAAAACAAACTCGCTGATGACCGAATGGGAGCATCCTATCGTTGCACTTATCGAGGCGAGTGATCGTCGAATGAAAGGCTCCACTGGATATATACTTTGGGAAGAACATCTTGCATTGCGATGAAAAAAATATCATCTGTTATTTTATACCTTTCTCTTTATAGAGCTATTTCGCGACGCATTTCGTATCGGATATACGTATAAATTTAAATTGCGTTACACGGCAAATTTTAGATAAATCCTAGCATCATTAGTTTACTAGATAATATCGGAATTTGCGCATTTCGTTCCGCGTATAACCAGTTAAGGGTGCTCGCGATGAGCACGCACTTATTGTTTATTAGCATATATATTATGTTTGTAGAGCCGTAAGGCGGAGTGTCGCCGCCGTTCTTTATCGATTTTCTGCTGGAGAGTATTCGCAGACTATACAGTCAGTCGGCCAGAAACAACAATTCACCCAGGAACAAGTGAGTCGATGATCGTTTGCTCGATTAATTTGCTAAATCCATTATTCATTTAAAGGTCGATGAATAGTTGGCTTAATTGCTCAATTGGTGCGCAAGCATTCCCGACTCACGCTGTTATCTATGAATCAAGAACTGAGCCGCGTTTCGACGTAGATCGGGGAATATCTGCACACATATATATATATATATATATATTGCTGTTCCCCGCGTACTCTTCGATAGATCCTTTGGCTCTGCTAACTAGGTACTGCATTAGTGCGCTGCAGCATGCGTTGTTACAGAATGAAGTCTCTTTGACAATTAATCATATTTCACAGCGAACACTTTAAAGCCAATACTCTGGATCGGATGTAGCTCGGGCGAGAGAAGAACTCCCTCGTTTTTCATTCATTATCTCAAATCGTATAATTTGACACGCAATATGCAGGATACGCGCGATACTCCACGCGGATGAGTAATACAATTGTTATTTTAACGTTGTACTTTATATACGCTCAAATGCAATTGATGAATAGGCGCGCGCAAAGAAATATATAACGTTCCGGTAAAAATGGTGAAATGTGTAATTAGAATGTTACTGTTAGGAACAATATATACCGAGACGTACGTTTTTTAAACGCAACCATAGTCGGCTGCATGCATTGTATGAAATAATAGCACGGAATTATAGGAAAAGGTACGTCTGTATTTTGTTACGAATTTATGAATGTTCCATTTTTGCTCGTATTGCGTGTAGTCGTGTGTCCGCCGATAAATCTCATTGTAATAAAATAAATACGCACGTCGAGAATCGATACAAGAGCGGCGCGGTTTACGCGGGAGAAATATTCAAAATATGCAATATGTAAGTTTATTCTTCAAGAGCGCCAAGCTTGTTTCCATACTTACGTCTGCAACGTTTTGAAATACTGGCGCGGCGATGAAGACGACGTAAGGTGCAAATTCAGCGGTACGTAAAACTTTGAGTGCCTGCGGTTCGACGTCCAATATGGCCATTCTGCCTTCTTCGTGAATTTTGCGAATAGTTTCGAGTTTAGTTCCGTACATAGCCTCTTCGTGCGTACCTGTTTGCAGAAGAGAAGAAAGAAAACAGTTTGAGCCTTAGACTCTCAATGTCCTCAGGGGATCATAATCGGGAACAGATTTGCTCGTGGTTCATCAATTTACCGTATTCGAGGTATTCATTAGCGGCTATGTCTGCCATCATTTCATCGTGCGATACGAAATAGTAATTACGACCATCCTCTTCATCGCTTCGTGGAAGCCTCGTTGTATCTGCGCGTATCGAACGGTTAAATTCGAAACAGTCTCTGTGCGTTTCACACAACTAACTTAACTTTGCATTTTTCTCCAAATAAGAAATAATTTCATCAAGCTGCAATATCACATGAGATACTCACGCGGAATGGGATAGGCGTATTTATCAGGATGCTTGGAGATAATTGTGTTCTTTATGTGTCGTCGACCGACACCATGTGCTCCCAATAATACTAATGTCTTCCTCTGAAAGGCAGGATCTGCAAAGGGAGAGATAAAGATTTTTTATACTTTTTCGGAATTAACATCTAGATATCGTATGTACGTCATAATACGCGCGTATATTTTTTATACGAATCTAGAGAAACATGTCACACAGTGACGTGCGCATGAATGTGAAAATGAATGAGAAGACGGGCGCTGCGTGTTCACATTGGATCAATTATACGAATTAAAATCGATTACTGTACAAATTATAATTAATTATTGCGCCAGAATTTTGTACAAAACTTACAAGGAAGCTTCACGACCTCTTCGTAGGTCACCAGGTCCAGCTGGTCGAAAACAGCATTGTGCTTAGCGAGATATTTATCCTTGTATTGTTTCTTTTTCCGGCCGAATATTGAGCAATTTACTGCAAGCAAGAAAGGATCGTTAATGTAAACGCCGGAGAACGCTCGAGACGCGGCCGTCTCCGCCTGCCTCGAAGACGTTTGTCGCACGTAAACTTGCAAATTACCGTGCAAGCGTCACGTTACGGAATCCATTATCTGTGTCAACTAAAAAGAGTCCCGCGTCTCTGTAGTTGTCGACGAGCGGTCGTTGTCGAGCGATCTCAAGGGGCGATCGCGACATCATGGTCGTCACGATAGCGAGATCGACTCGCGAAATTTAATTCAATTTACGTACACCACGATATGCATACACGTACATACATATGCACGTACGTGGACGTACAAAAAATCACGTCAACGGACAAAGCGACGGCTAAATACTCTTATAAGAAAAAAATTATTTCTCTGTTAACACAGATAGACACTGTGAGCAAGTTTCCTTCCTCAACGAAATCAATCGACAGTGCACGACGTGCGTTACGCTATTGACGAGAGATGGGACGTTTTTCGCAGAAGTCACTCTCATAGAAAAATCGTTGCTAGAATATCTCATGTGATCACCGTCTCTTAAATATCACCCGACACGGAATGTTATCCTCATCGGAAACGCGGCACACACCGATGTGCATGCACGGCAAGATAGTCGGTTCCTCGGGATGGGAACTCGAAGAATCAACGAGAGAGTCACGTCGGGGTATGAAACGATGGACTGCTACTCGGCGACAAAGTCGCTTCCTGGGTCAAGCAAGATCTTGTCTATATCGGTATAAAAAAAGTTCATTCAGTCAGCCAGTTCGAAAGAAGCCATGCCCAAAAGGCACTCGGGAGTCCTATTGAGAGGGGTGTTCCAGCAGGTCACAAGATGACATCGTAAAGTTCGTGGTGTAAGAGATTAATGCGTGAGATTTTGAATTATACGCGTCATAATCGGAGCCACGGTGAATATCGCGAATCTATTATCCGTGATCGCGGAGTTAGTGAATGCAATCGAGGAGGACTGCGCGTATGACTGTGTCATCACATTGAATTGTGGCACAGCGATACCTAGCCCAAATATTGGCTGACACTTCGAAAAACGCGCTGACACAACTCCGCGATCTTTATCCGGGAATTTATGCTACGGGATAGAGTCGCGACGCGAAAGTCGCGTCTTCGGAGTTTTTGCCAAGATATCCGCCGGTGTCATTGTCCGTTAATGTCCGAAACGATCGATTGTGGCTATCCGCTGTAAGCTCCGATTATAATCGTGCTGTCGCAATATGTTTGCGAGTGAGGTCGTGCGAGACAAGCAAAGAAGTGCGTGAAATGTTTTTTTCTTTTTTTTTTTTCTTGCGGCGATTGCATGCATCGAAGCACGCTGTGTAAAAGCATCTATTAATTGATTACACACACAAAATGCCATATTCCTTACATTAATATATATATATATATATATATCATGTTTGACATTACGCTCGTAATTTTTCATAAATCACGTCACACAAAATCATGTACGCAGGCCTGAAAAATGAAAACTTGTGAAAGCTGCTCCGTTACTACGGTCCTTGGTACAGTACATATGTTTCAAGGACGCTAAAATTTCTGAGACTGACATCCATTTTCATCCATTTTCATGCATCACGTAAGATATTTTTGCAAATTGCACAGTTTAACGCGTTAGAATTCCCTGAGGGTCCGTACGTGATGGATAAAAATTAATGACATTCTTGAAATCAGAGTGCAAAACTTATTTCAAAGAAGCAATTATTCTAAGAGAGAGAGAGAGAGAGAGAGAGAGAGAGAGAGAGAGAGAGAGAGAGAGAGAGAGAGAGAGAGAGAGAGAGAGAGAGAGAGAGAGAGAGAGAGAGAGAGAGAGAGAGAGGGGGGAACAAAATTGTTGCAGATCTGTGTTCCTCTTCGATGGAAGAATTGTTTAGCGTTGCGCGACTGCAGTTTGTAGGGAATCAATAATTATTTATTGCACATATTGCATGAATAGTTTTTGCACTGTATAACAAGATACGTACACCTTTGTCGAAGAGCATAGCAATGTGTAAAATGTATGAAACATTATGTCAGAGCTTCGTTCGGGAGAAGAAGCAGATGGTGTGTTTTCGAAACTTCTTGTCCAGATAACTGTTTTTTCTTAGCAGAGAAACCACCGACTTACTTAATTGCAAGATCCAACAAATTAACGATCCAAAAATCCTCACGTCCACTGTACAATAATCCTGCCTTGCGTTTCGTCATTTTATCGAATGATGCGAATAGATATCGTATAATGTACAATGTAAAGATGCCGAATGTGTAGTTCGTTTACATTAGAAGATCGCAAAACTGACAAATTTTACATATGAAATGAGCTTAGAGATGGCGCGCTACGAACGCGATCGGAAATCGTCGTCCTTCCGCAACGTAAACCGAGATACAGACGTTCTATCCTACTTCCTCCGATCAATCGAACATCCCGCCGTCCGTCTTACTGTCGATCTTCTCTGTAAGTGATGCGTGTACTTAGAAGCATGGGTTCAGTTTGTATTTCATGCGTCTAAAAACGGTCCTACGTGACTGACTCTACACGTGTCTACCTGAAGGCAGAGACGTACCTGTCGAGCCGTCGCAGCCTTCGGTGTGAGAAGAACATCCACCTTCTCCTTCAGCGTCTAGCCCCGCATAACACACAACAACAGATATATCACTGCAGCTAATTATTCTTGTGAGCGCTAGCTCTCCGTTTGTCTATTCCTAATCCGCTCCTCCATGCCAACCATTTACGTCGACAGGCACATAGAGATACACGGCGAGCCGAGCACTCATATACACAATGCGCACACACATACACACACACACACACATACACACACTCTCTCTCTCTCTCTCACACACACTCTCTCTCTCTCTCTCTCTCTCTCTCTCTCTCTCTCTCCCATCCTTTCTTTCGTGTGTTCTTAAAGCGTTCAGCTCGTAATTTGCGTACAACTTCACAACCGCGATTCTCAATTAGAATTCTAACTTTCGACGTTACGGATCGAAACCGCGGAATTGCTTCTACTCACGCACCATCGTGTTCTCTCATTAGAGAGATAAATTTTCTACCGTTGAAAATGACAAAGAATCTCTTCGCTATTTCTTCTTTTTCACGTTACCACCGAACGCAGCCGCAACAATTTCACTCGAGATTTAACGATCGGAAAAACGTTGCTCCAAAAATCAAGAAATTGTGCCAAATGCCTGCAACAAAATTTTTGTTATGAGGACATCGATTTCTAATTTGTCACTCAACACCTCATTAAAGTTCGATGTGGAGGAGACGGACCGTCTTGCGTACGGTTTGATGTTTTTTGTTGCTACGTCGTTTTTATCGTTTTTCTATAACAACGCGTTTCATCTTTAAAACATTCTACGAAACTGAGATAAAAGCAGTGGCGTTTTAAAATTTTATGGTTTAAGTGCCTACTATCGAAAGTAGCAGTCACGATCAATCCTTTATTTTCAGCATCCGCTGGCGAAAGATGTATTTAGTCAAGTGGAGCGGTCGCAGGAACATTCCGGCTGCGAATTTCGATAACGATACGCGCCTGCAGGATACAAAAGTTAAGAATCTCACTTAAAGAATAATCTTTACAATAGCATTCGAGATTTGAATATTGTTACGATCGAGAGATTCAATTGAGACAAACGCGATGAACTTGGAATCCAAAGTTTATCGTTGAATATATCATATTTCCTCGGTGGTGCGCGGGAGATTTTATTTCTTCGACACGAAAGTTGCATTTATCGCTACTATGAGCGCAACACAACGGTGCAATTTCTCACTGAATACGAGAGAAAGTACGTGTTTCGAGTTTTACGAAAAGAAACATACATTTCGAGCGATCAGTAACAAACGGCGAAGTAACGTCACAGCTGCCAATCTTTTTTTTTGCCTTCGTTCCGGAACGCGGCCTGTGATTAAACGCTGGCGATAATTACCCAGCTAATCTGTCGTGAGCGAATGGTACACTGTTGATACGCATTCTATTTTACGATATAATTGATTGATAACACACGATACCACATGCTCCATCGAAAATCTGTACACATCGAACAACACACAGACGACATCGTGTTCGTGAGCGTGTTCGTTTCTTGCGCAGCGGTGAAAATTGGTGGGAAATCGATCGGAATCGTTCGATGCGATTGGATGACAATGGATCGATCGAGCGTCGAGTGAAAGAACGTCACGTAACGACGGTTTCCGCAATCGGTGGAATTCCGATTCTCCGCGATCTTGCAGTCGAAAGAAATTCTGCGATCTGCTGGAACCAGTGATTTTCACAGAGAGAGACCCATCCTCTATTCTGGTTTTTAATTGAAATTACCCTCGCCCTCAGTTTTCTACTGCGCCCTATAATTCTGCCTTTGCGGAATACCGTAATGCCATTAAAACTTTCATAACGAGATTGTTGCGCGGAAAATTTTATCGTCTTCTGATGTTTTATATTAGTCAACGGAAGACAGAGAGAATATTTTCGAGACTAACGTCTTTTCCGTAGTCTCGCTCTGTCGAATATATTTCCTTTATTCGCTTGCTTTTTCTTGCAGCAGCCCCGCCCATTTTGTAATTTAACCGCGATGATTATTCTCGATTAGAGATCGCGCGGTAAGTTTCATCCCTCGTCTCTCTTTTGTCTACGACGTACAACGTGTGTGGAATTATTTTGATATTAAAGCCGATATTCCTCGCTATTTTATTGAGATTTACGGATAATCATACGGATACGACGAGATACGAAGCGAGTGGACAGTGAGACTGAGTTGGATTACCTTGTTCCTGTTTGTTCTTCTCCATAGACATGGAGGCGATGCGCCACTCTTGTAATTCGGGCGAAGGGATAAGACCCGCGGAGCCAGCCGCGTTATCCTTCCGCGCCTGCCACCAGTGATGGTCATCCTTGCTGATGATCTGCAGAATGTCGCCGGTTTTAAACGCGATGCCGGCCTGAGCGCACGGTATCAATTCGTCCTCCAGCGGGTCGTAGTCGAATTGTGCCCGAACAAAAATCTGTTGATGCAGTAGAAAATCACGTTACGATCGCTCGTCAGATGAGATTCGAACGTTGTGGTCGTTGTGATAATGATAGTAACAATCGTCATCGTCGTCGTCGTCGTCGTCGTCGTCGTCGAACCGTCGTTTGTACATGACGTCAAGGATTTCACTCCGCGCTGACATATTAAACGGGAGAGAATTACACGAGAAATTATATCGAGAGATCACAAAGGAAGAGGGAGTTTAACACATGAGATAATTGAAGATCCACGGTGAAATCATTGACATCCATTGGATCAGTGAGAAAAGTCTTAATTAATGGAACAATAGGTCCTCTCGACGATGAGACGTGACTATGGTATCGTTCTACGGCTATATCGATCGCTGATAGACCTACATATAATATAGCTGCGCTAGATATAGCGAAATGAATCTAGATATTGCGAGGAAAGCGAAGGATGCGACGTAGTGAAGCAACGGCAATAGCTGCTTGCAAAGAGTAACGACAGTACGTAACGTACAGAAAAATATACAAAGTATATCAATGGCAAATATATAGAGAGCGCTCGCAAAAGTTGCTCAAGATTGCAGTGTCGTTGTTACATGAAGCGCGCGCGCGCGCGCGCATCGACGACGATGATGAGTTCACGGTGGGTACGACCAGCGATCGACTCGTAGCTCGATTTCGCCACATCGCTTAAAAGTTAGGAAGGGCGGGCTGTCACGCGAAACGGAATTTCCAGACGAAATATCGACTCGCCGGTCTCTGAACGTCGCTGTATGACGTTTTGCAGTCGGTACGCTGTCGTTAGGTCGTCGACTCGAAAAAAGGGAGTCGGTGCGGCTTTTTACAGTCAATCGATACACACTCATCGGCTCGGAAGAATTCTTCGATCGAATGGGTCAGGAAGCGGAAAAGGGCCGCTAAGGATGGCGGAGGGCAACGGGAATATGTGAGGGTTGCGCGAGCTCTTTTGTCGTAATGTCAACTAGCGCCGGGATTTGAATATAGATTTTCCTCTTTCTTTTTTAGCGATGCGTAACACGAACACGCGTGGAGGCGTGCATATATACATATATATATATATATATACATATGCACACACATATACACATACGTATGAATGGTTCCGCTTACAAGAAGCAAGTCAAGCACTAGTTGTTGCACATCACGCAAAAATAGACGCACACGTACACACGCGCGTGAGCGAGCGCAACGCACGCATACCGAAGATGCACGATGCAGAGATATGCGCGCGGCTACTACATGAATGTGTGAGTAAAGAACGACGCATGAGACGATAGGTATGATGAATAATATGATTGCGATAGTGACGACAAGACGAGAATCGGTCTTGGTTAGCGCAACCATTGTTTGTGAAACAGAGCTGTGAGGATTTTCGATAAATATATATATGTATGTATGTGCATTTATCTATCTATCTATCTATATATATATATATATATATATATAGAGAGAGAGAGAGAGAGAGAGAGAGAGAGAGATTGAGAGAGAGGGAGAGATAAAGAGAGGAAAGAGAAGAGAACCAGGATCGATGTGGGAGAGCGTGGAGAACGGCTGCTTATTGATTCTGTACGAATATTATTCGCCTCGATATAGAGATACATCGTAATTGTATCGATTTTAATTATAGCTAGGAATTTTCTCTGGATATCCCGAGATTTGAGTATCGGCTATTTGAGACCAATTAACGTGTGTGTATTAATTAAAAGCAGCGCAGTGAGAGGGCAAAAATTAACGACTCAGGAGCGCTGGCTGGATGCATCCTGCGGTTTTGTCCAGAGGCCAATCGGCAAAATTTTAATATTATAAAATGATATATCTGTTCGTTTGTAATGCGAATATACGTGATTAATGTATATTCACGAACACGAGTGTATCTCGATTTACCACTTATTTATTACGCGCCCCGCCAAGCCGATTTAATATTCGTACAGCTTTAAGATTCAGCATTGAGTTTTACATGTCTATAGGGCTGTGTGGTTATTGGAGGTTGCCATCACTTCCGGTAACGCCGATCCGAACACGAATTGAAAATATTCCATTTCGATCACAACCGGTAATACGAGAAAAATGGTCGTACAATATATGAACAGATTACAGATCACACACGTTATCGTGAAAATCGACTCGCACACGTATCTCTTTGGGGGGGGGGAGGAGGGGGGGGGGAAACACACTTCTGTGTAGTGGGGTTCGAGTTACGAGTGGGGTTTTTACAAAACAAAACTCGTCGACTTACTTCTACTCCGGATTGTGCGGCGATCGTAACGCTAGGCTAATGTAGTCGTCCGGACATCCCGGGGGTTCGAATGCACGGAAATTGATATTCGTCGCGGTTGATCATGAAATCAACATCTGAGACATCTGAGAACGCGTGGCTCGTTGAATTATTGGTACACGAGCGTCTTATCTGTTTTCACAAGTAGCGTGTCTGTTCCAGCATCATGCTGGCAAGTAGCTTCCCTTTGAGACAATGTCGAGCATGCCCTGTCCAAGCATGACGAAGAGCCACACGTTCTCGAGTCGGTCTCGCTCGGGAGGATCACGTATACACGAATTACGTCAAGTGGGTCGTTTGAGAAGCGGAGGTTCTTTTGACAAGAAGCGCACGGACGCCCAGGATGAAGCGCAGAAAGGAGATGGATATTGTGAAATGTGCTCCATCTTAACGTATACTCGTACTATACAAGATTATAAACGGGTACACTGCGCGGACGTGAAATAACAAGAGAGATATCACAGATTGTCGTTCGCTCTAATTCGCGCGGCCTGATTCGAAATCGTCGTGCGGGGAGACGAGTGCCCGCTACGTATCGTATCGAATGACTCGACCGAAATGACAATATCTCTTAACAGCGTGGCTTGTGATACGATCAAAGCAATGATGATATTTCTAGGTCTACGTCTAATACGTGTATCGTAGAGAGAAAGAGAAAGGGAGAGAAAGAGAGACCGAACGCTTTACAGATTTCCTTTATATTTCTAAAGCATTCCTCTGAGCGTCCATGCGAATAGGAATTTTCTCGTGTACAGGCGTATAAGCGGACATATCGTTACGTGTTACTCGCACTTGAGAACTTCTATCGTCAGGTACAGATACCGCGCATAGATAGATAGAGGCTAGATAGAAAAAAAAATAGATACGTGGAATTGGAATGAAAGATCGATAGACGCGAAAGTCCGAGTAGAATCCTACTTTTCAGCGATGGCGTGTACAGGTAAGAGGAGTAAAGACAGTAAGAGGCACGTGTATACGTGTGTATGTGTGTGCTTGCGTATGTTGTGTGTTCGTTGTGTGCATATTGTGTGTATACACACACACACACACACATACATACATATGTGTGTGTGTGTGTGTGTGTATGTGTATGTGTGTGATAATAATTATGTGTATATACGCATAGCCGACTAACTACAGCAGTCCAATCACACCAGATCAAGTGGCGGTACTTACTAACACTGGCAGAGGCCTAATCCTGAACAACTAGAGTGTTGAGGAAACAGAAAAAAAGGAAGATCAATTAATTAATACGTTCAAAGTCGTACCAAGCGTTAGTAACGGATTAATCGGAGCCCACCGCGCGCCACGTCGCGCGGGGGGCGGAAATAAAGTGGTAAAAATGACACAATCAACGATAAAAGAGCACCTACGGTTGGGTCGCACGCGTCAACGCTTCCGAGATGCACGGTATGCATTGCTGTGTGTGGCACATGCAGGCTTTACTAGATCCTTGTACTATTAGACAGATGATTCGTACCCTCGACGGCTACGAGACAAAAAGAAAGATAGAGGGAGACAGGGAGAGGGAGAGAGGGAGAGAGAGAGAGAGAGAGAGAGAGAGAGAGAAAGAGAGAGAGAAATAAAAAGCGTTGGATCTTCGCCCGTGTAAGAGATAATTTACGTGTAAGATATTCAAGAATAAATCGGCTTGAAAATAATACAAATTCGATGAATTGAATTCTTGTGATGCTGCAGCTACGAAAAATGAATAAATAAATAAATAAATGAACTTCACATCCGTTGTCATATTTTTGTTTCGACCGTTGCAACGAAAAAGGAACATACGAAATCACACGATCATTTTCGATATTTGGGAAATTTCGCAAACGATTACACTGCAAAAGCATAGAGGAAGAAAGCAAGAAAGAACAGAGAGAGAGAGAGAGAGAGAGAGAGAGAGAGAGAGAGAGAGGGAGAGAGAAAGAGAAGAGAGGAAGAGACGCGACACTTGTCGGTAATTATGAAGATATCGATTGGCGGATGGCTCATGGATTCGCACCCTGCGGAACTGAATCGCAAGTACGGTCTTATACATTATGAGCTCCGTCGAGATCCGCGCTTCGCAACACGCGGGTATCGCTGATGCAGCGCGGAATACCATGGAGTATTACTGACGCGCAATCTAATTAAACCGGCGGCAAACAGCAAACGTTGTTATTATTGCCTGGCTGTTTGGATCCCCGTGCAAAACGGCTTAGATACCGTACGCGTAGATTATTGTTGTTTACTCGTTTACACGCCCGACACCTGCTGCGACCGTCGACGGTACGAAGTAATTTCAAGCTCGCAGCTCGCTGCGACATGTGTCTGACGAGCGTGGCGCGGAAGTGCGAGTTTCGAGCGTGGGTTCTCTCGATGCCTTCTATCGATCGCGAGGACCCGAAGCGGACCGATACAAATTTGTCCGCATTCTAATGTGTTGGGCTGATGGTCCACGTGGATGGTCTCATAGGACTTGAAGTTCCTCTCGCGCGCATGTCGCAGAAAAAAAACAGGACAAGAAAAGAAAAGGGGTAAAACACTTTGAAGCGGGAGGAAGCTGGCGGAAGTACACGGTGCTTTCACCGCCGCTCGTAAAAGTCCGCGATTAGATCGCCGTCCGAAGTTCCAACTCGTGACCCGCGCGACAGCTTTTCGCAGAGTGTTTCGATCTTTCGGAATTTCGAGCCGCCCGCGAATGATCGGACGGAAGTCCCCAGTGAAACGCTCGCAAACGCTCCCCGCGGGACATTCTCTAAACGTTTCTCGACATCAAGTGACTTCTTTCCTCTACGTCGTATTCGCGGTGACTTTATCGTCTCACGCTGCGGCTCATTAGCGAGCGCTTTTACATTGAGAGTGCGTCGTGAGAAAACGAATGATTAATGATTCGCAGTGCAAGCGGACGGGCGAGCGAACAATGTACCCGAAGCAGCTCGTGCTCCGATTACGGAGTGAACAAAAGTGGCGGAATTTTAGAGAGAGAGAGAGAGAGAGAGAGAGAGAGAGAGAGAGAGAGAGAGAGAGAGAGAGAGAGAAAGCGAAGATACGCAGAGACAATATACTGGGTGTATCAAGACGCCCGGTGGAATCGGTTTCATAATGTGCGTAAAATCGGGCCGAGACCGAGACCTATAAATGATCTATAAACGGCATCCCTTTCGGTCGCACACATCTCATCGACTCAATGATGTGATAATACGTCATTAACGCTAGAATGGCCCGGCAACAGAGTTTGTCTATCAATGATATTAATTGTCGGCGCAGAACCTTAGACGGGAGCCTATAATGATGTTTCTCGTCGGCGAGTTACATCCAGAACCGCAGAATAATGCGTAGGCAAATTCCAGACAATCGGTCGAAGCTGATTGTCCGCGGATGCGAGTCGCGTCGTGCGTGGCGCAAGATTGAAATAACATTTTCCAAGGCAAGAGTATCGGGCTCCACTTCACCGCGCGCGCTTTCGGTTCGGCTCTCGGCTCGGTTAGAATCCATATTTCTACGCTGTACGGTAAATTTCTGCCATTCTGTCCGATTACAAATTCCTATCTCGCTTCGATTCGGACGTGAGAAATAATGATGCGGGGGTTCCTTTTATATGAAACCGATCCGAGCGTCGAGCCCGGCAACGGGCGACGAATGACGCGTCTCCGAAGCCCGAAGTTCGGGCTTTCGCGTTGCCGCCATTGCCGCCGCCGCCGCCGCCGCCACCGCCACCACCACCACCACCACTACCACCATCACCACCACCACCACCACCGCCGCCGCCGCCTCCGCCGCCGCCGCCGCCGCCGCCGCGCCGCCGCCGTTGCTGCTGCTGTTCAAATAAAGTCACCGCGATTGTGCCCATCCCGTTTCCATAGTAACGTCGCAGAGGACAGTGCATGGACATGGGTAGTTCATACGTGGGTTTCCGACGTGCATTGGAAGCTGCGCTCTACTCCAAAGAAGAAATGAACGGGCGAGCGAGGGGGAAAGGTTGACGGTGGTCGGTATGCTGCTGATGGGATTTTCAGGCGACACCGGGAAAGACAATTCTACTCAGTGATATAGCAAGTACTGCACTATCGACAACTCGTCTGGTGGACTGACTGCTGCTGATGCTGCTGAATCCTCTTGTCGATTTCCATCGGGACCGGGCTCTTGGCTTCCGAGCGCCAGACCAAGGGTATCGGGCTCTCGGAAGGGAGGGAGGCAAAAAGAGCAGTATCGCAGCGCGGAGAATATAAAGCCAGTTGAAAATTTCACTACCGCGACCGTGTTCTCGGTACCGTGCTGCGACTTGATGAGCTTCGTTCGATCGGGTGTTAATGGCGTGCGTCGATATCGATTTTCCGTCGCATGGCCGACAATTTAAAAAATCCCGACTTTCTCATACGTGTTATCAGACAATTCGTAATGACGGTCTCGCAATCTTCTAATTAATTCCGACATTGTTCTCTCGGGTCTTGATGCGACTCGGAATGATATCGTACGTTAAGAAACGCGCGCACCTTGCTTACGCGAAGAAATATCTTCAAATATTAAATCGGACTTGACGCGAGTTGCACTGCGATACGTTCTTCTTAAGAACCGGTTGTGCTCTTGCGAAGAGGTTTGTCGGTCGTTACTGTAAGGTTCGTAGCTTGGAACATGAATGTCACACACAAATAATGTAGGTCGGGGTTCAGGTGAAGAACACATACATGTAAAAATTACCTATTTCATCCATGTATACTGCAACCAACATGTGTGTGTATATGTACGGGTGTATGTGCGCAAAGTGGTGCGTTGCGAGTGAGAGTGGTAAGAGAGGAGCAACGTGATACATATACATATATATATATATATATGTATATATATATATATATGTATAAAAGTGAACTAAGATTACAGTTTGCAAAGGTTTTTCTATCACTGGACGGAGTTTAGTTTGAGTAAGAGAGACAGAGACTGGGAGGATCACTTTGGATTTACCCTGAACGCAATTCGACGATACGGACAGTTTTATAGGCGCTTTTCGCACACGCGAACTCGTACAAACGTAAGTACGTCCGAGTCATATTTTCGTTCCTCGTGATATCTTTCGAGGAGCGTCATAAATCGAAAGTACGAGTCGTCGGTAGGCAGGGGATACGCGCGTGCTGAGAATGAGATCCGGGAACGGCGCGAGATCGAACGATCAATTCCCAACAAATAGGACTTGAATGCGCGTATAATGCGCGTGTCTCAGCAGACAAGAAATTCAACGGTAAGCAAAAAATACATCGCAAAACGTATCAGTCTCTTGGCGAGAAAACATGTCGCAGAAAAAGGAAAATTATATTATATTTATATTGTGTTTAAGTTACAATATAAATTTTATCTCTACGTTTCTCCAATGTGTCTCAATCATGCCTTTTACTCGGTGCTGCGTTTCGATGGTTTGTATACGAAAAGATATTTAGCGATGCATCAAGAAACATGCCGGCACTTTTCCAAATATTTGCGCACGAAGCTAACGCGATGTCATCGGGCAAAATTCACAATCTATACAAAAAAAATAAACAATTTTCTCTTACATTGTTAGAGAAAGTCCGTCGTACGTGTCAGCCATAATCCGGTTCAATTTATTTGTTCGATGCACGCGACTGTGCGCATCTCTTGCGCTGACGCAACAAATGACAAAAAGTTTCCTTTTTCCCCGGCGTGTTCCATGGCGGCCGATCTTTCACGCGCTACAAATCGCGAGAAAGATTGAACTAATTTTTCGAGACGAGATCTTCGGGGAATTCGAAGGCGTCGCTTGAGATGCCTTCATGTGCAGAACGATAAAGTGTCAATGTAACGATTGTTGCGGAGTACAACGATAAAGGAGTGGGCGATAATGGGGGCGGGGGGGGGGAGGGAGACACGACGATACACGAAGAGCCACGTTGAACATATTTGTGCGCACGTGTGTTTAATGGGATAGAGAAGAGGAGGCAGGAGAAAGAGAGAGAGACAGAGAGAGAGAGAGAGAGAGAGAGAGAGAGAGAGAGAGAGAGAGAGAGAGAGAGAGCGAGAGAGAGAGAGAGAGAGAGAGAGCGAGAGAGAGAGAGAGAGAGAGAGAGAGAGAGAGAGAGAGAGAGAGAGAGAGAGAGAGAGAGAGAGAAAGAGAGAGAGAGAGAGACCCGCATACCCATACTCGCCCACACACACGCAACATACATACACTCATATACACAGAAATAATTTCTGTGTATATGCGCGCGTGTGCTCGCATG